TTTTTTTTTTTTTATTTCATTAAGGTTGCTGTTGAAGAAATCTGGTTGCAGAACACCGCGGATTGAATTGGAAGAGATGGGACCCTCACTGGATCTAGTTCTGAGGAGGACACACCTGGCATCAGATGACCTGTATAAATTATCTATGAAAATGCCAAAAGCTCTCAAGGTACATGACCTGAGGCTTGGTGCCATATTTATTTGTGTGGAGTTGTGGCATAGTATATTAAAGGAACTATATAAAGAGATCAATAGATAAAACTAGCCTCTCAGAGCCAGGAAAAGGAGGAAGAATCAAAGAAGCTGACCATGAGGGATAACAAAAAAAGAATTGCAGAAACCAGGCATCAAGTTTGGCTGAGAGCTTTCTGGTAGCTCGGGCTGCCATTTTAAGCAAAAAAATTGTTTGGGGCGTCTAAAGACTAAGGATTTTGAGCACAGGGTATATAAACTGTACGTTCCTAAATCCCGTTCTGACTTTTTAAAAAGTTATTATTTTTTAGAATGTCTACCACAAAAGAATAAGACGACGACTTAAGTAGTTTTAAAAAATAAGTAGAAATGTTATTTCTGGAAGCCGGTAGAGATTGAAATGACAGTCATAATTCCATAAACTAAACACAGGAAATTCTCTCAATATGTGACAGTGTGTAGTGTAGTTTATAATCTTGCTTCTCAAAGTGTGGTCTGACAATTTACCTGGGAATTGTTAGAAATGTGGAATAGCAGCCCCACCCTAGACCTACTAAATTAGAACTTGTATTTTGACAAGATCCCCAAGTGATTTGTATGCACGTCCGTATGAGAAGAAAGGTATATAGGGCTATACACTCTGTGTCATTAAGGGCATACTCCCTCATGGAAGTTGTTATTAAGATAGTTGTAGACTATGTTTTTACTGACTCATGATAGTAGAAGGCCATTAAATATATATTTTTATTTATATATGTGTATGTATTCTTTTTTCATAGCCAAAGAAGAAGAAAAATATCTCCCATGATACTTTTGGTACAACTTATGGAAGGATTCATATGCAGAAGCAAGACCTAAGCAGACTACAAACCAGGAAAATGAAGGGATTGAAGAAGCGACCTGCAGAAAGGATAACAGAAGACCAGGAGAAAAAAGCAAAGAGAATTAAAAAAAATTGATGGAGCTTAGCCAACAACTACGGTTTTAATGTAGTCTTTTTTTTTTTTTTTTT